TTTATCTATCGATTCCCCCGGGCGTACGTGACCGCCGTCTCTCTCGCGGGCCCCGTCGCTCGGCGCGCTCCGTCGCGCCCGCGGCCAAAGTCCCGTTCCCGAGGAGGCTCGCGACGAGTCCTCTTCCCCGGTAGACTCGCGCCCGCGAGGAACGAACGATACCCGGCGCGAGGTTATCGATTTTGGAAAAGCCCCGTCGCTTCCCGTCGAGAGAGCGTTCCCGTGGCCGATCGGCGCTCGCTCTGTCTCTCTCTCTCTCGCTCGCGCTCCAGGCCGCCTCCTCGAAATCTCGTCGAGCCGCGCGGCGCACATACGTGCGTGCATACGTGCCTCCTCGCCACGGGATGCCTGAGACGCTGCGGCGCGACGGCGTTCGCGCCCGCAGCCGTCGGGACGGAATTTTCGGCGCGACCCGGCGCGGCGGCGACGCGGGGCGCGTAAGTGTGTCGCGTAACAGTTGCCCGCGCGCGGAAGAAAACGCGCGCGCCCCGTCCGAGGCGATTGATCGTATCGCGGACGCGCGCGCGACGGAAACCTCGGTTCGCCTCGGCGGGAAGAATGAAAAGCGACGGACAAAACTCGGGCGAGCCTCCTCGCGGTTCCGAGGAGGAGACGCGAAAAAGACAGAGAGAGAGAGAGAGAACGACGTTGTCGTCGCCGCGAGACAACGTCGGGATGATCGCGCGAGGCTGAGGCCGGCGCCGTAGGACGGCTTTAGGGCCTCGATCGATTCGAGTTTTACCCTACTGACTCATTTACCACAATTTCGCCCAAACAAACGGGCTTCCTGCCCCCGCGCCCCGCCGCTGCGTAGTTTCCCCCCCGCGAGAGCATGTGTCGCGTCGAAATGGCTCTCTCTTTCCCCCCCCCCCCATGCCGGGGGACCGCCTGAGGTTTCTCGCCGAGTATAGGAAGCGGACGCGGCCCTGCGAGCTCGCTAATGAAGGGACACCGGGGGCGGCGGCGGCCGGAGCCTTTCGTCGGCAAAAGTGGAGTAAAGCTTTTCGATGGCGTTACTGCGCAGTAGGACGAGCCTGACCCCCCGAGTCGACGCTAACATGGTGGTTCGTGTCGTCGTGGACGCCGCCGCCACCGCCACCGCCACCGCCGCCGCCGCCGCCGGCTTTTCCGCCTCCGGCCGAGTCCGAATCGGCATTTCGTGCGTTTCGCGTTCGCCGGGCAGGCGGCCAGCGGGGCTTATCGACGCGATCCGCGATTCTAATCAGTATGCGAGCCGAGGAACCATTATAACGCCATTAGCGCCGCGAAACTATCTCGTAACTGGATATCAGTTCGAGCGACGCCCGCTTCATTGTCCGCGATAATTAGATCGTTTCCAAGGTAGAAAGAAAAAAAGGACCGCGAGACGCGAACAATGGAGCGGCGGCATCGCGGATCGCGAGGCCTGGCCCGCTCTCCCCCCCCTGTCCGAGAAACGGAACCGCCTGGCGAGTCGCGAGCGAGTTGGACTTAATCTCGTTTCGTCGAATTTTTGCGACGCGAGTCTCGATAACTCGGTTATCGGGGAGTTCGGCGAGATTCCTCCTCCACGGCGAGGAGCCCCGTTCCACCGTTTCGTTAACGCCGACGTTCCGCGGCTTCCGTGCGTTAATTGTATTGTATTATATATCGGCCGCTATCGGTCGACCGGATGATCTACGAGCCTCTCGACTCGTACGCTCGCGTAAATGTGGAAAAATCCCCCCGTTGTGACATCGAAATCTCGTTTAAGTCGCCGGCAATAAATGACAATAATCAGGCTTTTTAGTCGACACTAACCGGCCAGTGTTTTAATAGAGACAATTTGGTGCGAAAAATATCACCTCAGCCAGGGTTCGAACCTGGACCTCCCTACTCTCTACACCGAGGGGGAAACCGCTGACCAAATTCTTGTACACCCAGTGGGCATTACTTTATCCTATTATCTTATTTTACCTCATTTTATCTTCATAATGGCCCACTCTCTAAAGTTTTGGAGTGAAAATAGAACCATAGAGTGAACCGTTTGCTCCAATAGAGCGAATTTCACACCACGGTTCTATTTTCACTCCAAAAACTTTAGAGAGCAGCAAGGCCTAATGCCCAAACTAACTTCCCCCTCGGGGGGAAATCGCTGAGGGCATTGTGGTGTACAGTTTTGCGGCATTACTGGGCATTACTAGGCATTTTCGTGCATTTCTTGGCATTAGTTTGGCCTTGCTGGGGCATTATAAAGATAAAATAAGATAAAAGAAGATTTGAGCCGGGAAACTTATGGTCAACCCAACTGGCTAATTGTTTCCTCAAGTTTATTACACAGCGTTCCGACCCTATTCTTTTGGGTCCAACAACGCAGTTATGAAATAATGTTTCCCGTCTCAATTTTTAATCTAGTGGGCATTGGTGTACAAGATTTTGGTCAGCGGTTTCCCCCTTGTCTTATCGCTCGTGCACTCAGAAAAAAAGATTTATTTAAGTTAAATAAATGAGAATAAACGCGAGACGCCCGCCTAGAGTGTAGGGGAAGTCCAGGTTCAAACCCTGGCTGAGGTAATATTTTTCGCAAGAAATTTTCTGTGTTGGAAACACGTTGCCAGTTATGGTCGATTGTAAGCTTAATTATTCTTAATCATGTACTGGCGTCAAATAATTCTTGATGTTAAATGAATGAGATACGTTGAATCATGTTTCTTCATGAGTCTACTCAATTTTTGTTCACTTCTATTAAAACATCTAGCTAGATTTGAAGAGGTATATATGAATTCTCGTACTCTCTAAAGGTCCGTGCAGGTCTAAAGGTCAGTGCATTACAACTGTGAATCAGTCTAAAAGTCTAAAAGTCAATCAGCGGATATTCAGTGTGTTCAGTGATAATCCACTGATTGACTTTTAGAGAGTAGAGATTCCAGTCTCGATCAAATAAAGTTTTCATTAAGGTAAAGAAATCATTTCTTTAAAATTAAATAAAAGTCTAATCAACAAAGGTCAAAATTCGAAGAAAATTTGTGGGTGTAGAGTCTCTATAATCGGCCAGTTCTGGCACAAATCTGCAAGAGAGAAGGATATACGTTCTATCTTCTTCTCTCTCCTTCCCTTTTTTTCTTTCGGGAGTTGCCAGATAAGAAGGACCGGATCAAAAGTTGCCGTCTATTGATCAGACTCTGATCAGCGAGACTCTAATCGTCTCGTGATTTCCAATCCTTGGGGTGCGCCCGGTCATCATCGAGACCGGCACGCAGAGCCGCGTTGCGCGAAATCGCCGAGCCTTCGTCCTCGAGTTATCAATCTTCCGCGGCGCTTCTCCAAGACAAATCGATATTCGGCGCTCCACATTTTTACCTCGCCCTGTTGCGTGACGCGGCTTCGTATCGGGTGAAAAATTACAATTCGCCAGTCAATCGAGCGTTAGCCGGGGCCATTTTTGGGAGAGACGTGCGTCGCTCGGAGCTCTGAGCCGCTACGGAAGCAACCACCTCGGCGCGGTACCGGTAAAGGGTTCAAAAGCTCTAGGAACCTCATCGCTCCGCATACTCGTCGACGCGTTTCAAGACCCAAACGTGTATGCGAAGCTGGCGTCTCATTTCGTGGAAACTCATCGACTATTGAGAGTTCTAGCTTCTTTTTGAAGAGTTCTAGAGTTCCTGATACATGAAACAAGTAGTTCTGGCCTTTACGGGGATGCTGGAGTAACGGCAAATACCGACATGTAGTGTGACACCGCTATCTTTGAATTGGCTTTACAGATTAAAACATCTTTTCATATACTTAAAGTGTGTACAAAAGTATATTGCAGGCATTGCAGGCCAACGATAGTAGAGAACATACTCGGCCATTTTGAAAGTTGAGCAATGCTGAAAACTCCGATTGGCCGAAATTCTCAAGTCCAATTTCGCGCCGGCCGGGCTTCACAAATACTTAGCGTTTTTTCACTGGCAGAACTGTTGC